TGAAATGAGAGCAGTTCCTTAGACGTGTCAGCCTGGAAAGCAACAGCACTTGGATTCTTGTGTTTTGGGATGTTAAGTGAAAGCAGATGACTGCTTTGTGATGACTAGAATGATGACTTTATGATCATACATCAAATATTAGACTTTGTTTCTACCTTAAGGAGTAGTTCATAACGTAGGGTACTAAAGCTTAGGAAAGACAATGGAAACTCTTTTTTTTAATATAAAACACAAGACAATATTTAATTAAATTAAGAAAACTCTGTTGCCATGATCAACAGGAAAGAAACACAATGCTCAATTTCAATTAAAGGAGAATAAATTGGGAACAAAGAAATGATTTCTTTTTTCATTATGAGGTAAACTTACTCTTTCTTGTTGTAAAGAACAATTGAGACAAATACTAAGTCTGAATTTATAAATGGGATGTGTCATTTTATGACTGTTAACATAAAATTTGCAGCTCTGTAAGCCCAAATGTGATTTAAAGATAATAAAATCTCATGCTTCAGGGTATAAGTTAATCACCTGCAAGGGCCAGGAAGAATTTTCTTCCCAGAAGTAACTACACAATTGAGTAGATGCATAAATTTTGTTTAATATCCAGTATATCAGGTATTGGTCAGTGCTGAAAACAAGAACCAAATTAGATGGACTATTAATTTGATTTGGTTCAGGAACTCCTATATTGTTGCTTCCACTGAGTTTTATGACTTGTGTTTATACTTTGCTATTTTAAATAACAATTACTTTGTCAATCTTTCACTTTTATAGCACACATCATCTCTGAATAGGGGCATTTATACACTGTGCAGTATTATCTTCATTATACAAAGCAAAGGGGATTGAAATTATCTTGGATAACTATCGATTTGGTTAATAAGTATTTTAAGACTGATACAGCTGTATTCTTTATACATTTTGCACGTGTTGAAGAAAGTCTCTACTGATAAAATTCAAAAGGTTTCTATTGCCACTACCCTCCTTTTTTTGATTGTACAAAAGGTCTTTCAGAACCTGTGGTCCAAAAGCAAATAAGAAAAAGAACATACTAAGAAACTAATAGCAAGAACACATCTTTCCCTTAAAAATATCAGATTAATGTGTACATTAATGATTTTAAGTGTACATGTGTCAAATGACCAAGGCAAGACTTGACAAAGTGAAAGTAGTTAATATGTTTGAAAATAGAAACAAATTTAAGTTACTTATTCTGTGTGAGAAAATAGTCCTAATTTCTGAAAGAGAGGTATGGAGATCTTCATATGCAGTATAATTGATTTGCCAAATTATTACTTTTCTTTCATAGTTTAATTGGAAGAACATTGACAATATACTAAATTTATGATTTCTTTATTATTTCCACTTAAATCAGATGGTGAATTCATGGCTGTTTGCTATTTAACATGAATTTAATCTACCTTTCTTCCAAAAAAAACCTCTGTAATTAATAGATGGTCTTTTGTTTTATTCTGATTAATAATTAATGAGAAGTAAAGCTAGAAGCAGTCTTTTCCCCATCTCAACAAGTGACCTTTACATAAAGTCACAAATTCTCCAAGTTTTGGTGGAACATATCAAACTTCCTATTGGGGCTCCACCCAAGAGCCAATGAGGATGAAGGACAGCACTAAAGTCTATATTTTCTCTCACTTCATGCTGAGACAAAGAAAGAAGGGGGAGGATCAGTCTGATATTCTGTGAGTTTCTTAAGCTCCCAGGTCCTTCCTCTTTCTTGGGAAGAGCAATGGCATGTCTAGGTAAGAGGTCTCAGCAAAGCAATTGTGCCTGTGTGGAGTACTGCCCAAGAATAGCCAGTCACTCATTCAACAAACTGGTGTGTTCTCTTTTCTTTACCCTGTGCTAGAAGCATGGCCTACAAAGAGTAAAAAGATTCCCTGCCATGAAAAAGAGACCTTGCTTGATGATTCAGAAGGTCCTTGAGAAAAGAGACTACAGAGGGAGAACTCGTATTGGAGTGCCTGCCATGGATAGGGACATGGCTCCACGTGTTATTCAGTGTGTCACATTCAAACATTTAGAAAGTAAGGAGAAAACAGTGTAACTTCCTAAACTTCTTCCTTCCTCTGTGTTAAAAGTTATATTTCAAGTTATTTTTGGAAATCTGTTTAGTTTAGGTTTACAATAACCCTAGTGACTAAAAGTTCCTACTATTCCAAAGTGAGTTTAAAGGGACTGCTCTTTATATCTTTTAGAATGGAGAAATAAATGACAAATGACTGAGTAGAAAAATTGTTTTGTGTTTAACTATCCATGAGCAAAGAGAGCCTTTACAAGAGGGGTTGGCAATAAAATATCTCAAATTAGATTGCTATTTCTATAAATCTCCATAACTGTATCTATCTCATCATCTATCTGTGGTAGACTTCACACTCTTATTAAAGTAGAATTCAAGAGAATTGGATTCATTGTTTATTTTAAACTCAGTATTTTTATTTACTTAGCCAATAATCATCTCACTATCCAATAAGGAGGTTTATAGAGAAATAAGAAATTAAAGCATCTTTATAATTACAAGTATTTCTTAGTTTTGATCACATAGGGAATGTGAATGATTTTTATTCTTTTTAAACTCAAACAACCATAAAGCAAAAATGAAAATGCACCAATATATCAGTGTTTATTTGATATAATATTTTCCAGTATGAAATTGAGAGAGCCCATGACTAAATATGAAATTAGCCCTTCTGCAATAGGCTAAAACAGAGAAAATCCAAACCCAACAAAAACACTTTCCCAGATCACCTAAGCACACAGATGCATGGTGAACACGTAATTTTCTTGGCATACATGGAGTGATTTTCAAGTCATTACCATCAACTGTGGTACATGTCCTTCTGATGTACAAAGCTTCACTCTTTACCCAGCCTGAATTAACCCACTGGACATTTTCCTTGAATTGTTACCTATTTTAAACAGTAAGAACTTAAACTGAAAGCAAAACCAAAAAATTCTACTTAAAACTTGTTTTTTAAATGGAAACCACCTTTTAGGAACTACATTTAATTAAGTTTCTTTGGTCTATACCTTCTCTTTTAAATGTTTTGGTGAAGGATTTTTTTTTATATTTTTACGTTAATACAGAAAAAGGGACAGTCTAAACATTTATTCCTATTTCACAAGGCTGCATCAACAGTGACACAGAGAAAAATGTCCCAATGAAAGGACTATGTGAAGGAGCTGGGCACCTTCCTATGGGCTCTGCATAGAGCGTTCTGTCTCACAGGACCCCAAATTTCCATGATTTGGCATGTTTTATAAGGGCTAGGTGTGAGCCAGATATGGCGGCCCATTCTTACAAACTTAACTATTTGGGAGGTTAAGATCTGGAAGATCAGGTTTAAGGCCAGCCCAGGCAAAAAGTTCACAAGATCCCATCTCAACTAATACCTGGGTGCAGTGATGCACACCTGTCATCCCAGCTATGTAAGAGACCAAATTTGGGAGGATTGCAGTTTCAGGCCATGTGAGGCAAAAAATCCTCAAAATCCAAATTCAACAAAAAAAGCTGAGCATGTTAATACACATTTATCACCCCAGCTATGGCAGGAAGTATAAATAGGAGGATCTCAGTCCAGGCCAGCATGGGTGAAAAGTGAGACTCTATCCCAAAAATGACCAGTGCAAAAGGTCTAGAGGCGTGGATCAAGCAATAGAGCACCTGCCTAGCAAGTGCAGGGCCCTGAGTTCAAACCCCAGTACTGCCAAAAAAGGTGTGTAGGGGAGGTCATATATGTCCTTTCTATAGAGACAGCTGTGGGTTTCACTTAATTTTCTTGCAGTACTGGGACAATTGCACTGTGCTGCTAATAGTTGGTAGGCTGACTTGTGATAATAAAGTTTGCTGACTTGAGTTCCTCCAAGTGCAGACTGTGGGTTGCAGGTGGTGGTTGACCAAGCAGGAGGGAGACCAAGGCCTTCACATGGGTTGCATCCTTGCAGTACTGAGAGGAACAAGAAACTCATTCTGACTTGAGAATCAAACAAGTTTGATACTGAGGTCACAGAATAAGAGTGTATGTGTTTCCTCAAGACCTGGTTTTAACACAGTGACTTTTTTCTCCATAAGGACATTTTAGCATTTTTTTTTTCCTCCTGTTCGCTTTACCTGTCCCCATGGGATCTGTCTGTCTCTTCCTCTCAGCAATAGTTGGAGATGGGTTCATGCCCAAGAGGAAATGCCACAGTGTTAATTCTTGATTATTTTCAGCTTCCACTGAAATGTCTAGTGTTTAAGTCAATTAAAAGATTATTAGGAAATGACCATAAAAAGGTGTGGAAAAAAATTAGGACAAAATTATATTAATTTATGATGGAGTCTAAAATTTCTAAGAGAGATTATTTTTATCCACTTCATTAAGGGGCACAATTCATCACTACTTCTTTTTTTCAAAAAAAAAAATCAAGATGAGTTCTGTGGTTACTTTGAAGACATCTTAATGTGATTTTATAGGACTTTAGAAAGGTATTTTAAAACTCTTCCATAGCCATTTGCATCAACCAGATTTGCTTCCTTTGTGCAAATATCTAGGCCAAGGCTTTTTAAGAATATGAAAAAGAAAAAAAAACTAGACATATAATCAATAGGAGAACTGCAGAACTGAATTACTCTGAAAGTGAGCTGTACTGTGTTTCCTACTAGGACAATGATGGTCTCCCTCCTGCCCCCCTCCCATCTTTTTATCTTTGGGTGATGAGAAAGAACAGTTAGAAAGTTAGAGCTTAGTATTTAGGCAAAGGGGTAAAATGTCATTGCAGATTGCTTTAGATTTCATAAAAGAGATAGAATTAAACTCAGTGTTATGTAAGTTATGTTAAAAAAATAATGATTGAAGGATCTCTGGATAAGAGAATCAAGAATAATCATGGGTGTTGATTCTTACAAGAGTTTGTGAGTAAACTCACACAGCATCTTTCTCATAGCATCAAGGCTTCATGAATCAGGCTTCTGATACTGCTCTCCTGTGTTTCCTCAACAGAGCTACAATGAACCTGTTGACGTTAAGACATCTCAGCCTCCTCAGCTGATCAATTCGAAGCCATCAGTGTTCCATGGGCCCAGCCAGGCCCACTCAGCTCTGTACCTGAGCTCCCACTATCACCAACAGCCAGGAATGAGTCCTCACCTCACTGCCATGCATCCCAGCCTCCCTAGGAACATCGCACCCAAGCCGAACAACCAAATGCCAGTGACTGTGTCTATAGCCAACATGGCCGTGTCCCCTCCACCCCCTCTCCAGATCAGCCCTCCTCTTCACCAGCATCTGAGCATGCAGCAGCACCAGCCGCTTACCATGCAGCAACCCATTGGAAACCAGCTCCCCATGCAGGTCCAATCTGCCTTACACTCTCCCACCATGCAGCAAGTAAGTGCAAGCCCTGCACTGGGTATTACAACCTTCTTCTGAAAGGCTGGGGGAATTCATCCACCAAAGGATGGGGGACATATGTTTCCTATTCTTCTGTTTAAGTGGAGGGAGAGAAAATTGAAAATATTCGATAAATATCTATACATTATATTAGTAGATGTCATCACACTGTTCAAGTATAATGTATAAATGCAGCAGTATACCATCCTCACGGTTGTTAGTTGCTTTTTTTCAAAACACTGGTTTCTTTCCCATGTCTACTTTGCTTCACCTTTCTAATTACCCTTTTGCTTTCTGTTTCCATAGTGAAGTACATTAGTTATTTTAAGATGCCATTTGCTACCACAGATCACTTTAGCATAGAAAATTCTGTAATTTCTTTTAAAATATTGTTTGGAAATGAGAATGTCTTGACTGGTATGCCTGTGCCACTCCTCCAGCCCTTTTCACTCTGGTCACTTTGGAGATAGGGTCTCACTTTTTACTTAGGCCAGCCTGAACTGAGATCCTTCTATTTGTGCTCCCCCATAAAGCTGGGATGACAGGTGTACATCACTGACATCTTTCCAATGTCAGCCTCCCAAGTAGCTAGGATTACAGATGTGAGTCACTGGCACCTGACAGAGCTAAGATTATTAAATGTTAGGCTTGCTGCCTGTTGCCCTCCATCATTCTTATATATTGTTAACTGCTTTGTATTAGAAAATCTGTTTCTCCTAAGAATTTGGAGTGTCTTTAAATCCTAGTTCTTTCTAAAATCAACATTTTTGTGGAGAACAGGAAATTAATTTCCTTATAGAAGTTTCCCTTGGTCCCTCAGCCAAGGATATTGGTACAGCTATGACAAGTTCCTTGTCTACATTCAGCAATCCAGTTGTTGACTCACTAAAGAAGAATACCACAGGGAAAGCCAGTTTCCACCCTCCTGCCTTGTTTACAGAGGTGTTTATGACCAAGTGATATTCATGGGGTCAGAACCCACCCTTCCCATAAGACATCACACACAAGAAAAAGGTTGCTCTTGGATCTGCTTGCATTGTAATGAATCAGTAGTGTTTGCTAAGAATAAGAGTTTGGGGGATGTCACCTTTAGTGGGGTGGGTTAACCCTGTTTAAAGGTCCTGTTGCACTCAAGGTCCATACCAGTCTCACAGTGCTGTGGTCCAGGGATTCTTGCTTGTATAGGAAAGAACAGCAAAGGCACAGTTCCCTCTTTACATGCTGGAAGGTGGGAAGGGTATGGGACTTCCTCAAAGAGCAGCAGCTGGAGAAAGAAACTCCAGGCTGGGAGAGACAGGCTGACAGGGAGTGGGTACTACCCAGGCAATGGAAAGGAAGCTAGGTGAATAAGGAGAGTGGTAAGGACAAGGCAGGAGCAAGCAGGCAATGGGAGCAAGGTCCTGCAGGCTCAGGAGGCTGGCAATCCGGTCAGCTGATCATTCTAAAGTCAAGATCACAGAATCCATCACTGCTTAATGACAATTTACCACACTCACAGCAGTCTATCAGGGCCACCATTCATATCATCAGTGAGATTATAGCCTGTAGACACACATTCAAGTCATGAATAAAATTTGACCTGTCTGATTCATGGCCCCAACTCTCTTTATCCTACAGATGTTTGCTTCCTTGTATGGGGCCAAATTCCTATCTTCAAACATCAAAAAATGAAAGACACACAGAAAACAGTTAATGGCTACTGTATTTTTAAAAGACTGTCTCATATTTCAGTATTACTTCAGCTATTTTATTGTCCTTTTGAAAATGACTATATCCTACTAAAATGACTGTATAGTCCACCAGGAATAATAGTTCCATTTTTTTCTAGAATAATATTTTATACACTCATGGACCCGATTTTTCTGGTCCAGTTTTCTTCCTTTTTTTCTACTCACTCTATTGTCGAATGAGGTCAAGAGAAAAAAAAATCATTAATATCTGTCAACTTCCTTTATGACCTTAAGAAAAAATCTTTGTATGATATCACACAGACAGATTTTCAATTTCCTTGTGTAATAAACAGCTGCTTTAGGATTTGGGTGTAATTTAAAGGTTTAAAAAAATCACATTGAGATTGATGAATAAATCAGTTGTGAAGACAAAAACATTGATGCCTGTTGAAAATACCTCTCCAGAAAATACCTCTCCAGACAGGCAGGAAATGAAATTAGTTCCCAGTAAAGTGTAGATCTGAGGACCACTGTTTGGTTGTGCTGCAGGCTTTTTCGGTCTGGCTATGGTGGCACAACACAACTGCAAGGGCTACAGAAATCTAATTAAAGAGCAAATGTCCCTTCTGACATCAAATTAATCTTTATCATGTTTCCTATTTTTATTTCAATCTGGCACCAGAAAATGAAATTTAAAATTCCAGGCATGCTACAAAACAGTTGGTGATTCTTCTCTCGAGCATTAAGATGCAAAATATTCAGTCTTCTTTAATTAGACTGCTAAGCAAACATTTTTCAAAAATTTATATCATTATTGTTTCCTATACATCAGTAATAAAAATGTACCTAGCTCTAAGTTTGACCCCAGCATTTCTTTATATAGTGTTCAGAAAAATGTTTCATTTTCTAACTAGAAAATAAAATAATGCTAAATAACATTATTTCAGCCTTTGCCTATTTTTGTTTTGTTTTGTTTTTTGGTCCTTGGTTGTTTGGACATTTTAGTAATGTACTTAAATTTAGACATTGAAGTTAGCTGAATTTTCAATCTCTGAACTTTGTAGATAACAAACACAATTTTAGTTTCTATAAATTAAAGTCACCAATTCTAGTTTATTGATATCCTTTCATCCAACCTAAGGAACTATTTTCACTGGATAAAAAAAGGACAGAGAGTTTTGTTGGTGTGTGTGCTATTTTTCCCTGTTTCCATACTGTCAACTAACTCAAGATACTTTCAACTGCCCTGCCCTTTGTTTTGATACTTTTTTGTCAGTTGCAGAAAAAATCCAATATGGAGAACTTTACATTAAAAAGTTAAGAAAGCCTTGGTATTTACACATTTTTCTATTCCATGCCTTTCTAACTATAGCATTGAATCATCTGTACTAAACTTTATTTATTGGAAAACATGATTTATTGAGCCACTACTATGAGCTGAGCCCAGCAAGTCAAACACTATCTGATCTCACGATCCTCAAGACAGCTCTTAAGATTGGCATCAATAAAGAAAGTCAACAAAGGGCTCCCTTCAAGTTTTCTCCTGCTCTTTGCCCAGTACCATACTAGGCAAAGAACTAGGGAGGAAAGTGGAGAAAGTCCCACAATAGAACAGACCACAAGGAAATAAAGACACTTCACTAAAGCAAGTGAGACTCTTCTCATGTTGGAAATCTGGGAAGGTCTGGAGAAAGAAGAATTCTACTTGGAAAGGTCAGGGCACCCAAGTGGCCAGTTGGATGGCCACTCTTACTTTCAACTTCCAAGTTTGGATGATGTTTATAGTTTTGAATATATGTGCTATATATGCATACAAACTTATTAGTTTATGTGAGGTCAAATAGTCTGTGAAGTCAAATAATCATCCTGGCTGAATTCTTTACTTTTCAATAACTTTTTCCTAGTCATTCCAAATATCGTCTTTCTCCACAGTGTGGGTGGAAGTAAGTGTGGACATTGACATGTTGTCTTTATCATTTGAATGAAAAACAAATGAATACTTTAAAGGCAATATTAAGCTTAGGAACGTCCATAGTAGGTGTTGTCTTCTTTAGAGTCATTGCACAAAGGATGCCCTAACATGAATAAAAGTCTAAGAAAATAACCTTGATTGATTTTTAATAAAGAATATTCTTTTCATCCTGCTGAGTTTAAGAAAAGGAAACAAGAATATTATGCCTTCAAAAAGCTACCTGCGAGTAAATAGAGAATGGCACATTCTTAAATCCAAGATGTCTCAGTGGTTAAAACCATGCCTGGAATCTGCTAAACAGAGACAACCATGAGATTAATTAAGTTGCTTTTTTTGGTCACTTCCAGCAAAGCTTACTTATGCTGCTTTTGAATTCACCAGATAAGCTAAAAATAAATCTTCGTGTATAATTCTTTTTGTTTACCAGATATAGCTATCTACTTCAGAGATTCTGTCCTTGAATTTTTAATGGCTTTGTGGGATTAAAAGTCAACACTTGACCATACTAGTGAATTAAAAGAATCTTCCTGAAGTCTGGCTATTGTTTGCCAGTTAATAGACTTTTCAATTAAAAAATATTTGCTCTGTCTTACACTTTTCCCTCTCTGTTTTCTAATGACAAGTTGTTTTGCATCTTTTTCCTTGTATTAATCCAACAACTGTTAAAAAGCTTTGGTTGAAATTTTTTAGCTGAGAAAGAAATACAAATAAAAAAGAAGCAGATGGTCCCTTTGTGATTGAATGAAGAAAAAGGGTTTTGAGAACAATATGTGAATAGGTGTAGTCTAATAAAACACTCAGCCACCTGCTGCCTGAATCCTTCAAAAAAGATTCTGTTGCATATTTTGAGGATTAACTATTAATGTATCCTTAGGTTTGATAGGAAACATAAACTTTGAGGAATTTAAGCTCTTTTCCCCCTTGTTTTGATTGAGTTGGCTCCTCTATATTTTAAATCGTTTCTCATTTCAATTTATCTGTTCAAGAGTAGTCTTAAAGGTTTTTGACACATGGTTAAACAAAGGAAAGGTAAGAAGAATGTGGTACTTCTTCTCTACCTTTGTTTTAAGTTTTCTGAGCTCTTTCCATAGGCTACACCCGGCAGAGGCAAGAGCAAGAAGCACTAGGGTGTTTGGAGAGAATACATAAATATTTAGGTGTTTTTCTTCTTAAAAAGGTATTCTGATCCTCACATGTGGACCTGCTTTTTCCTTTCAGGGATTTACTCTTCAACCTGACTATCAGACTATTATCAATCCTACATCTACAGCCGCACAAGTTGTCACCCAAGCAATGGAGTATGTGCGTTCTGGGTGCAGAAATCCTCCCCCCCAGCCTGTGGACTGGAATAACGACTACTGCAGTAGTGGGTAAGCGGCCTGCCATCGCCACCTGGTGGTGGACGGTGTTTATAGCATGAGCCCTCGACCATGGGTCTTTTATGACTGCTTTCCACTATGTGATGAAGGGTGGGTTCCACTTTCAAGTAGGCAGGGGTGCTGCTCCAGAAAATTTCCAGCCATCATCTATTCTTTCCAAGAAAAAATGCCTTTAGATCTTTGTTTGCTGTCGATGTAGGTTAACTTCCTGTGCCCTTTCCCAGTGCAATCCATGCCTCAAGTGAGAATAAATAATCTAAACCCTTCTTCCTCCATTACCACCTGTAGCCCATGTTGTCTTGTAACAAGGAGTTGTCTGCTTTCTCTCCATACAGGGGCATGCAGACGGACAAAGCACTGTACCTCACCTGAAAATCTGAACACCTCTCCTTTCCACTGAGGAATTCAGGGAAGTCTTTTCACCACAAATTGCTTTGTACAGTCAAGGCAGTTCTCCATTTTATTAGAAAATACAAGTTGCTAAGCACTTAGGGCCATTTGAGCTTGTGGGTCATCCACTCTGGAAGACATAGTCATGCTTCTTTATTATTTCTAATCCTTTATGGACATTGTTCTTCTTCCCTGAAGGAAACATGGACCATTCAGATTTTATGTTGGTTTTTTGCTGTGAAGTGCTGCGCTCTAGTATTTAACTGCCTTAGCCACAGTAGATGTCTCGGGTAACAGTTCTGGCTTTTCCATTGGTTTTCATAATGGGTGTTTATATGAAACTACTAAAGACTTTTTAAATGGCTTGATGTAGCAGTCATAGCAAGTTTGTAAATAGCATCTATGTTACACTCTCCTAGAGTATAAAATGTGAATGTTTTTGTAGCTAAATTGTAATTTGAAACTGGCTCATCCCAGTTGGTTGATTTCACAAGAGGGGTTAAATTGGCCAACAGTCATATTTTTACTTCATTTTTAAAACAACTGACTAATAGTTCTATATTTTCAAAATATTTGAAAAAAATATTCCCAAATGATTTTAATTTAAAAACAAATTGGCTTTGTCTCATTAATCAGACAAAAAGAAACTAGTGTTAAGGGAAGCGCAAACACATTTATTTTGTACTGCAGAAAAATTGCTTTTTGTATCACTTTTTGTGTAATGGTTAGTAAATGTCATTTAAGTCCTTTTATGTATAAAACTGCCAAAAGCTTACCTGGTATCCTATTAGATACAGAAACAGATTGGAAACAGCTAAATTATAACCTTTACATATGGCTCTGTATTATTGTTTCTTCATACTGTGTCTGTATTTAATCTTTTTTTATGGAACTTGTTGCGCCTATTTATGAAATAATAAATATAGGTGTTTGTAAGTAAATTTGTTAGTATTTGAAAGAGGTTTCTTTGATGTTTTAACTTTTACTGGCAAAAAAACATTCACGCTTGGTGTGAATACTTTATTATTTAGTTTTTACAGTGATATGAATAAAGCCCAAACTGCTTTTCATTTAGCAGCAGATTAAAGTTACTAATCCTTATTTCTGCATTTCTTTGGTTGATGCAAATGAAAAACAATTCTATTAAAAAAAATTTTGCTTTCTTACAATACAACACAGAATTGCCCCAGAAGTCACACAAGGTCTTAAGACTAAACAAACAGACACATCCTCTAAAACAAGTTGCATCTTGGTTCTCAGCTGGTTTTAGTCAATTCTGAAACGTCACCCCCCCCAGAAAAACAAAGCCGAATCACCCAAAATTCCTTAAGACATATGCTTCTCACAAAACCCCCAAAACATTTAAGAATTAAACAAGGAGCAGGAAGAAATAAAACGGAAGCACACTGCCAAGAATAAATCTAGAAATCAAAGGTGAGTAAGCAGACAGCAAAAGAGGAAGGAAAAGCATTCCAAATTTGAAAGCCATTCATAGAAAGTAGGACTCTTGCTGTGCTCTGTATCTTTACAATCTATTTCTCTTCCCAGAATTCCTGGGTCTTTCCAGAGAATTCTGAGACTACTAGAGATTTTCTAGGAAACCACAAACATTGAGAATATTCTGAGGGTTTGTATAGTTCTGACACAATAAAAAAAGACCTAGCAAATTATTTCCTTAATGAGGATTGTGTCAAGTAAGTTAATCTGATTAGAAATCAAAAGAATGGCTAATGTTTCTTTCATGGAATGTGGGAAAAAATTAGTAGTTTAACTTAATACAAATATATGCATTATGTAAACCAGTCAGAATTGAGCAGATAAAAGGTATGCTTGCTTTGAAATGATTTTAGGCATTGTACAACCTTGAATCACTTGAGCATGTAGTGACTAATAAATAATGCAGATCCAATGTGATTATTAAAATGACTGTAGCTGAGAACTCTAATTTTCCTGTCTTGAAACTGTATAAGAACTCATACGATTAAGTTCACAGTTTATTGTTTGTCTGTCTAGTATTTTAGAAATATACCAGCACTACTAATTAACAAATGTCTTTTATTTATTATAGTATGAGAAAGTAAAATTTTATCCAGCATTAAGTCTAAACTGAGAAGGAAATTACCAGGATGAGAACAAGCAGCCTTGACTTTGACAGGTGGTTTGTACAGGAATGTTGTTTACAGCTTTTCCAGAGCAGGTGCACAACCAGGGTAGAAAGAGTTTGAAATTTAATACCAAATACAGTAAAAAAAAAAAAATGTAAATAAAAGAAAATACATCATCAATAAAAACTCTTATCATATGTGACTGTAATCTATTTGGTGATCCATCAGACTTTAAAAGGACAGGCTCAATCAAATGAGAAGTCTCAAATAAATTTCAGGGCAGAAGTGATTGGGCACAGAAGGAATTAGTGGCTGCCAGGGCCCCAGATGTTCTTTCCTGGAACTCTGACAGTGTCTTCCAATTAACCTCACGTTCTAGAACAAGTGTTGCCCAAGAAATCCACCATCTTTAAGGAAGTCAGAATCTAGTTTGGGCACAGTTGATTATAGCTTGTCACTCAGAGAATAGTGGTGATTTAATCCAAATTCTCTGCTGGAGCACATTAAATGATTCCTGGACCAAGAATAAAATCATTCTGAGAGATTCACCAATAACACTGATCATAAAATATCTTTAACAACATACCTAAAATCAGAATTATAGCTAACTAGAAAAAGGAAAAGTGTGTGACAGTGAGAGGGAGTAGCTTATGTCTCTTAACATAATCAAGGGGAAATACTCCAAAATCTCAATTCCCATCCAAGTGAGAATGGATTGATGATAAAAAAAAAAAAGTCAAATAATGGTTTCCAGTTGACAAAATTGGTGTGTATAGCTAAGAATGAAGTTGGTCTGTGTGATTACTTTCATGTGCTATCTGAAAGAGAAGGTTCCCCAGTGCATGGAACATGAGCTGTCCATGGAAAGCCATGATCAATAAAAGCAGTGCACCCTGGCTCAGATTTGTCACTAAGAAAATTTAAAAACTCAGGAATTCCAAAATGTAGATCAGCACAACAGCCTGTTTCCTTTTTCTACCCTTTGCAAAAGAATTGCTTGACTCATTTGAAAGATTGAACCATAGGAAATTATCAATATTGACCCTTTTACCTACATAAATGGTGATTTTATATGGTCCACCAGAAGGTGTTGAAGTAGAGACACTGGGGTTTTATTGATGAATTTAGATATAATTTCTAATGGAGTGAGAAGTACCTACAAAATCCTAGGTGAAAAGCTTAAAGAATGAATTGTTTTTTAAAAAATTACCCCACTTAGAATATATCCTAGACAGCTATCCATATTAAAGAATATTTTAAATTACTAGGTTCTAATAAATTCCAGAAACTATCCTTGTTTCCTTGTTATATTAAAATTGTTTATGTGGAAATTTATAATAAATAGGTTATCTGTTAGAACCTGAAAAGTTTTGTTATGCATAAATGTTCTCATGTTTGTTTGTTGACTGGAGAGTTTACCTATACTTTCTTACTCTACTCATAACTTTACTTTAAAGTGAAGATAGAAGCACAGAAAAATTCATTTCTGATGATGATGATGAATATTGAAATAGTGGCAAATGGATATCATGAGTTTAATCTTAAGCATGTAAATTCATGTGAGTCACCTCACAGTACAAATCTCTTTGGCTCCTTGAAATTAAATAATTTATTCATCTCCAAAATAACTTGGAATATTATAGCACATAGTAGGTGCACAATAAATGCACAAAAACAGGATCAGTGAAGCTGCATAAATTATCCTTGGTAGGAATTATATGTTTCCTTGATGGTTTTGAAGCTTCTAAATATGGAATGGAATTAACTAGCTGCTCACAGGCAAGTAATAGGAGGCAAAGATGAAAATGTTTCACTAAATAACTTAAGGTTACAAAAAGACCGAAAGGAAGTGTTTCAAAATGAGTGATTCCATATTATTTTGGCCTACATAATTGATCAAGAAAATTTTTCTAGTCCTGACAAAAATAAGAGATATAATACACACTGATCAAGAAAACAATCAAGGGAGAAAAAGGTGCTAGACACATAGGAGTGTTGACAACAGGAGAAATTTCAGGAGACAATTTTTATGGAATGCTAAATTCAAACATTGATTAATCAACAGAATCCTTAATTGTTTTTCTGATTACCAAGTATGGGTGTGACTTAGTGAAGCAAGGGAAGACTCATTTCTTAGATCCTACCTAAGTGATACCAGGTGAAGAAGAAATAGTTCTATCTATTAAGATCCTCAAAAGAGATTTCCATAATTTTATTTGGCACCATTTCTTGGTGTAGGAACCCCTTTCCTAACAGAAAATGTCTTTAAATCCTTAGAAAAGTCTATTGCTTTGAGAGAGGGAGTGGGGACCCTCTTGACCTCACCAGCTACAAAGGAGGGAGGGAGGCTGGGAGCATCAGCAGGAAAGGGGAACTCCAGAACTGGGTTCTGGCCATCAGTGTATACAGAAGAGCTTTGACTTTGACTTCTTGTTTAGATTTAGCCAAACACTTTGTTGTTGTTGGTGGTGGTGGTGGTGTTGGTACTGGGGTTGAACTCAGAGTATCACTTAGGTAAGATCTAAGAAATGAGTCTTTCCTTGCTTCACTAAGTCACACCCATACTTGGTAATTAGAAAAAAATTTAAGGATTTTGTTGATTAATCAATGTTTGAATTTAGCATTCCATAAAAATTGTCTCCTGAAATTTCTCCTGTTGTCAACACTCCTGTGTGTCTAGCACCTTTTTCTCCCTTGATTATTTTCTCGATCAGTGTGTATTATATCTTTTAGTCAGGCACTCTACCACTTTTTTACTTTGTTTTACTCTATTTTTCACAAGGGTCTCACATTTTTTCGCTCGAGGTGGCCTCAGACCAGGATCTGCCTACCTATGCTTCCTGTTAGCTGGGATCACAGGTGTACGCCACCAGCTTGTTTTGTTGAGATGGGCTCCTGCTAACTTTTCACCCAGGCTGGCCCCCCACTGTGACCTTCTGATCTCTGTCTTCCTAGTAGCTGAGATTACAGGCCTAAGACACCATACCCAACCTTGGCCAAACATCTTCTCATTTGTATCTAGCATTGGAGTAGACAAGGAGAGGTTAAGCTGCAGTTCTCATACTCAGATGGGAGACAAATGAGAACAATGGTGTGTTCTCTTTCAGCATGGTCAGAGCTGCAGCTAGTTAAAGAAGCCCACCAGCACGAATCATTTCACATTTTATTAACAGCTTGTTGGTGAAGACATTTGAAAGTGAAATTTCACAACACTGACATGAGGCCAAACAAAAAAAAAAAAAAAAGTGACCAGAAAATAAAATGGAAAGACAATTCTACAAAGAAAGCAAAAAAATGTCATTCTAAAGAGAGACTGTGAACCAAACTACAGTATTTTTTAAAGTCTGGAGCGTCCCTGTTTGACAATTGTATGTTTACAATAAGCCCAAACATAATTGCTCTGATGGGCTGTCAGGGAAAAGATTAATTTGGCAAAGATTAGTATTGACTTGCTGTTTATTAAGGCTTTTAAACAGCTGTATCTGGCAGCATTCCTGTAAGTGGCTGTCATATCTGAAAATCAGCCTCACACCCTGGTGTTCGCCAGCTGTTACTAAACAATCTTCTACCACTTTGAATGTCTTTCTCCAGGCCAAACAGCAAGAGCAAACTATTGCCAAATGAGCCTTTTTCTCCTCTTGTCACTTTTTTTTTTGGTGGGGGTGGGGAGCTTCTGAATGCTGAAATGTCAGCTCATGGCTGATGGCTTAGCTGATAAAAGGGGCCGGAAGCCAGTAGGTGGTTTGGGTGCTAGATGAACACATTCCCCATATAGAGAACATGGTGCTGTTAGTCACCTCAGACAGACAAAAAAACCACAGCCTGCAACTGTTTTA